TCTGGGATCTTTCAACCCCAAAGACACAGCCGAAAGAGTCGACTTGCGTCGCGTCTGTTTTGCTGGGATAATAAATACTATGCAAAGCTTCATGTAGTTTCAAAGTACAAGCGAGATGTCCACATGTACGTAGAACAAAGGAAGAAAGGCTTCCTCGCCAATCGTGTTGCTCTGGGAGGCCCGCCAGGCTGCTTCTTGGGGGGGGGGGGTAAATATATGACTCAAATGGCGTGTTAACGTATGACTAGAGATCTGTCAGTGCTATTCTGATATGTGATTCAATTCGCGTCTCAAGGTCTGCAGAATGGTGTTGGATCTTTTCCCACAACGGCTTGCCCGAGCATACGATAAGGAGCACATTAGTGGCTTTGCTGGCGCAAAAGGCTAATTCAGCCGTTATAATGCGCTTTGTTGATGAGCGACAAATGGGTCGAAACGGGTAGAGAAAAGCGGACCTGCCATCGTGGAAGAATCGGTATTGAACTCTCGGGCAATGCTTCCTAGATTTCACACTCTTTTTGTGTCGATATTTTGCTGATGCTCTGTTTGTGGTTCGTAGGGAACATAGTCACAGGTAGGGGCTTGGCGAAGGGAATAGCGCGAACTGCAGGATCCATGGTCCTGAATTGAAGTTGGCGGTTGGCTGGTAGTGGTGAGTGGAGGTGTGGGATGATATCCATGTCAGCTCCACGCAGTTCCGAGGCGGCCCGCGTGGCCTGTCCTTGGCCCCATCGCTGATGTGTTGTGGAAGTCAAAGTCGCAGAAAGCGAACGAACGGTCGTACTGTCTTCAAACCCGATGAATTGCGGCTCGACTACTGCCAGAAAGAGTCCCTTACGCTTTGATGCTATTTAGCAGGATGAGGTTTTCAGCGGAATTGGATAAACAGGGTGAACATACACCTCCAGGGGGTGCAGACCATGGCTACTGGACGGGGTTATGGCCTAGGGCTGGCCTGGAGACTTGAACTGGATGGGTAAAATCAAATCAAACCAGTTGGCGGTTGCATCTTGGTGTTTTCCAAGGCTGGGAATAATGGTGGTTGACTGCTCAAGCCGTGGCGCAGGGCCTGGCTACTCTGACCAAGCCGCACTTTCCCCAAGTATCCAATTGCGTGTTGCGTGGTCTTGGTAGTGATGGAGGCAAGTACCATGGAGTCGCTTCCTTGGTAAACAGGCACACTGCAACTGGCAATGGATTTGACCATCGCCATCTTCCCAATACATCAATTGACAAGTCAATCTTGGAAGCTAGCAGTGCCAGACGGAAGATAGCCGATATTGGACCAAAAGTCGGGGGATCTGGAAATTCCAAGCACCTCGCACGTACGCCCAATACAAGATGCGCAAGGCTCAAGCTCGAGCCAACATGCAGACCCAGTGCGTCAAAGACAGATCCGGAGAACATCAGAACAGCAATTTTGGGCTTGATGAAAGACCGAATGACTTACCTATGTCATGGAGGAGAGACTGATCCTCGGCTTGCCATGGCCACGTCCCGTTTTTGAGACCCCGCATCCCTTGGACAGATTTAAAGTATCGAATCGGGCTACGGAGTACCAATGAGTTCATTTGTAAATGCAAGACCAGACTGTCATGGAGCATTGTCAGCGGCATCTTGACCGAGATGGGGCATGATACAATTGTGGTATCCTTGACGTGCTCCCCTAGCCCATGATGCTCATGCCTTGATGCTCATGTTTCGGCCTCTAATGTCTGTCCCGCCTTCGTGCAGAAACAGGGTACGCATCGCATGTTTCCCTCATGCGTGAGCCGCAACGGTTGAAGCCCGAATTGCGACGTGTCTGGAGTTCGAAAGATCAATTGATGCTGGGGATCCAGTACCGGGGGAGGGGAGCTGTGGATTTTAGTTTGTTACTCCGTCTGGAGCGCATGCAGCCAATATTGGACAGTGCGGGACGTGCTGTTTCTTTGTCTGATACGGAGTACTTGAGTGGGGACAGACATCGACGTCGAGCGGTCTTGGTCTGCCTCTCCCGGACATTCTGGAGCCACGAGAGCCAAATATTGACACCTTGGCCACTCTCAGGCCTTCGAAAACAGCAGTTGACAGACACCGCTGGGTTACGGCACAGTATTTCTTACAAAAACTTGACCGGTTGGGCCTCCCATGGTGGTCAACATGTAATATGCGGGCGCATGCGAGGAGCTAGCTATCCTGCAAATATCAATGACCAAAGTGGAGGTGGAATTCAGTGAGAATGGCACAGCCTGCAGTACCTGCATGCGAGAGCTGTTGCTTTATGCTCTCTTCCAGAGGCTCTGGTTGGGCAATTCAAACCCTGATGGTCTCTTTGCTCCCAATGAGAAGTCGTGACATGCACCGGGGCCCTTGAAAGGCTCATCAGTCAAGGTCCAAGGACGACATATTATTATTTTTTTTGTCCTTGGTGCTGCACGACTGCAATATTTCCTGACACAACAACACTGCAATGAAAGTTGGGAGAGACGATATGGACAACTGCAGCTGGTCGCAATGAGTGATCAAATGTTGTCAAGCTTCTTTTCAGCCCCACACCAGATCAAAGCCTCTCAGCATCTGATGCCACGCGGGCAGGTGTCGCGCCGGTTCCAGCCGCAGGCTGTTCAGATGGAGGCTTTCTTCACCGGAATGAGGTCGGCGCCAGTTGGAGTAGTTGGAGAAAATTATGGGGAAAGGCTCCGGCACCAAGGCTTGACCCTGGCTTAGTCTTTTCTTTGCGGAGTTGATGGCGCATTATATATTAGGCACATAAAATATATGTACAGTCCCCCCCCTAAATGTTTCTTTATGCGTGACCTAATAAGGGGGGTAATAACTAATAAAAAATAATTTTATAAAAGAAAGGTAAGTATTAAAAGTACCTGAGATTTCCTAAGATTTTTTTAGTAAGTTAAGGTTTTTATTATAAACCTTATAAGTCTTTTTAATATATTATTACTTAAAATATATAGATTATAAATAGTATATTACCCTTTACTTATAGCTACCCTATTAGGTTACTCGTGTAAAAACATATAAAAAGGGTATTATATATACTCTATATAAACCTATAATACCCCTCTTATATATTTCTATACGAGTAACCTAATAGGGTAGCTATACCTAAGAGGGTAGCTATAAGTAGAGGGTAATATACTATTTATAATTTATATATTTTAAGTAATAATATATTAAAAAGGCTTATAAGATTTATAATAAAAACCTTAACTTATTAAAAAAATCTTAAGAAATCTCAGGTACTTTTAATACTTACCTTTCTCCCATAAAATTATTTTTTATTGGTTATTACCCCCCCTATTAGGTTACGCATAAAGAAACATTCAGGGGGGGGACTGTACATATATCATACAGAGAATTAATAAGAGCGGGCCGGTGGCTGTAATCTCGTAGGCAGAAGTAAGACATGAAAGTTGGTGATGGACCAGTTGAGAAGACAAAGAGGAGCGTCGGGCGAGGACTTGGTGCACAGAGGGCTCATACCAGACACCACCAGACATTTGATGTTTTCCCAATATATTTGGCCGGTTGGGTGATGGAGACGCACAGAGACATGAAATTCTGGAAGCATCAAGACCGCCAGAGTGTTCCGATCTCGCGTCATATCATTTGTCTCGTTGCTGATGCCTCCGACGTGTTGGGTTGATTGAGATTGACTGCTTCATTTGGACAGGAAAATTGGCAAAGGGCAGCCCTCGACCAGGGCGCAGGGTGAGCATGTCTGTTGCTCGAGGACAAGATTGAAAGGCCAAAAACATCAAAAACCCAATGAGCGCACACGCCCCTCCTCTTGCCGCCGCCAGAAAGACGCCTCCCAAGTGCCCTTAAACGCCCCCCCCTTTCCATGTCCATGGATCCACTGAACGTGCGCATCCCGGTCGTCTGGTCGCTCAACCTCCAGTCCCATGTCCCATTGTCTGGACTTCGAGATCAAGTCCGGATGGTTCAATCTCGAGAGACCAGTCGACTTCGCGCCGCGCCACGACGGGCTTAGGTCGACCACTAGTTAGATGCAGCTCGAGTAGTAGTTTTGTGCTACTCTAGATACCGTAAACTACCCAGCACTATATGTACATCTCGCGCAGTTATGGAGTAGCCGAGACTGCCTCTCTGCCTCTTGTTGGTTCGTGATGCGCAACTGCACATGCATTCGATTTCTGGACCCTCTCTTCTTCTCCATGCCCATGCATGACATGGTGGAATCGAAGCACCCTCGACGGCAACATCCCGGTAGTCATGGCTGTTTTTGCTCCATCTCGTCTTTATATCTGTCACCTTGTTCCCGGCGCGACATGCAAAGTCGCCCATTGCACCAGTGCCTTCGATGAACCGTATAAGACATACATCAAAACGGATTCACCGAGCCCGTTCTTTTTTTTTCTCTCCCTCTCGTTTCTTGTTGCTTTCATTGTCCGTTCATTTACTGTATCTCTGATATAGGAACCCTTTCCTTCAGCTCGTTTTCCGACTCCGTACATTGTACATTGGTTGCAAAAGAAAAAAAAAAGATTGCTTCCATATACCTTGCCCGTATTAGAGGTCTGTTCATGTCATGGGAAATACACTCCTGTTATTATTCACATCGGTTCCTCCTTTGCAAACAAACCCTGTCGTTTTATTTTGCTCCATATAAAATAATCAAGTGGGCAAGACAAGCAGATCGGTGAAGCTCGGTTGAAGCATTGGCTTGATCAACATCTCTGGCCGTTCGCCTGCTTCGCCGTTCACTTGCTCCTTCCAAGCTGTGAAGACTCGCCTCAGCTCGCCTGTGTGCAGTGATTTCGAGCTCCAAAATCCTATATATTTGGCCGCTCGCGCAAGGCAATTGTTTGTATTTTTTGGTCTTTCTCCTCCAGATTGGATGCTCAGGGATACGAAAACCACTTCGGCAGCGGCAACGGCAACAGCTAAACCTCGGCCTTTGATCACTTCTTTCCACTTCGAGCCCAAGCATCCTGTCAACACTCCCCTGTCTCGGGGTAACTAGTTCGGCATTTACCATGAAATCCTGTTTTTGCGACCTGCCAATGCGCCTTTGTGGTGCACTTGTGCCGTTCCTGCCCTCGTTTGGCTTCTTGAACTCGACCACGTTTTGGGCCTATCTTTTTTGGATCTTGTGGTAGGTCCCTTCCATATGCTGTTTTTCCTGCTCTGAGTCTTCGGTTTATTTTATTTTATTGTACTTTATTCTATTTTTTTTCTGGTTGCAAACATTGAACTGACAACCCGTCATTTCATAGGCTCCATCGCTACGTGAGACTTCTCGTTCACTGCGTGAGTCACTGGACCTACAAGTCGAAGCCCCTTCCCGCCAACCCAAAGTATACGAGCCAGGATGTGACGGTGGTGGTTCCTACAATTCATGACAATCCCGAGGAATTGAAGTCTTCTCTCAACAGCCTTCTCGCCTGCAACCCAGCCTGTCTTTATCTAGTGACGCCCTGCTACAAGTTGGAACCATTGCAAAAGGCGGCAAAGCAACTCAAGTCCAGCAATATTCATGTTCAGGTCCTCTCAAGTACCATCGCAAATAAACGGCAGCAGGTGTGCGAAGCAATTCCTCTTATTAAGACGCCAATCACGGTACTGGCCGATGACGATGTGACATGGCCTAGCAAGATGCTCACCTATCTCCTTGCCCCGTTCGAGGACGACAAGATGGGTGGTGTTGGATCTTGCCAGCGAGTGAAGCGCGTGTGGGATGCACCTTGGTCAACGCGCATTTGGAATTGGCTTGGTGCCGCTTACATTGAACGCCGCAATTTCGAGATTACTGCCACGCATAACATTGACGGAGGAACTTCGTGCATGTCTGGCAGGACTGTGGCGTATCGAACGGAAATATTGCGGAGCCATGATTTTATCCATGAATTCCAGAATGAAAAATGGGGGGAAGGCAATCTCAACACTGACGATGATAACTTTATTACGCGCTGGCTGGTTAAAAATAGGTGGAAGACCTGGATCCAATATGCTCCGGAATGCGAGCTGGAGACTACTCTTGAGAATTGCATGGTGTTGTTTGTCTTACAATGTATTCGCTGGGCTCGCAGCAACTGGAGAAGCAACTGGACCAGTCTGTTCATAGAGGGATATGTTTGGAAGTAAGTCTTTGCTGGATGCCCCTGGTTTTTTAGGGCCTATGCTAACTGCATGTCAATCAATCCAGACAGCAAATGTGGTGTACATATGCGCTTCACATTGCCACCTTCACTTCTCTCGCCTTCCTCGTCGACCCGCTTCTCCTCTTATCGTGTTGGCGGGCCACAGCTGACTGGGACATGGCACAGCGGGAACGCGCATTCTGGGCTCAGTTCATTTTTATGTTCGGCTTTACCAAAGTAGTCAAATTGGTTGGCTTGTTCAAGCGGAATCCCAGTGACATCGTCTTTCTGCCCGTGTCAATTATTTTTGGATACTTCCATGGACTCATTAAGATCTACGCCTTACTTACTCTTCGCACGGTATGTGGGGAAACATTGCTCATCACACTTTCGTTGATCTGGAAGCATAGCTAACCATTATTTGAAGACTACATGGGGCAGTAGACCCGATGGTGACACCAATAACGACTCTCGCTTCCAAAAACGCCCGAAACTTGCCGAGTATGTGGAGTCGCCCAAGTCCAAGGAACACCCAGATCTCACGGCCTCCAGTGCCTCTGGTATCTCCGATGCCTCCAATGTCCACCAGAAGGGATGGTGGCCATACGATGGCAAGTGAGACCAGAGGTTCTGAGAAAAACGCAACTAGGCCGTTAACGATGCGCAAACGCCTTCGTTCTAGAATATTTTGGCATGGTCTAAGAGTCCACAAAGGTGACACAGCTCTGACTTGACAAAACTTTGAGGCTAATCTAATGAAGGACGGATAATATACGCCTGATGATTTTCTTCTCCTATTACCCGGAAACCCCATATAGCAAATGGTCATGTACTTTCGTGTTTATAAACAGTCTGCAACTCGTTGCCACACTGGGGACATAAGGATTACAGAACTCTGCCTCTGGCAACTTAACTGGCATTTTTAGTTCACCTTTATTTCTTCTTCTATTTCTGTACTCGATAGAAGAGTTCAATCTGGATTTGGCACCACGTTCATCTGCATTTAGCTATGAACTTTTTCTATTTTGTTTTCCTTACGACGGGAGCATGGATCGATGGTCTTTTAGAAGGTTCGGCACAAAAAAGTTCTTGACTTCTTTTTCTTCGATAACGCAATGGTTACGGCACATTAAAAAAAAAGCTTGGGGTATGGGGAAACGACTGTCTTTTTTTGTTATTTCTTTGGTCTGCGTTTGATGGCTATTCTCGACTAGCTATGACGAGAGCAAATTTCACAGTTCTCGTTGAGCATTTTGGTCGTGGAAAGCGTTAGGCTCAGATAAGGGTTTGGGGACATGAGACTCATCAATGGTACCACCTTTTTTCATTCTTCGACGCAAACCATTCGCGTCTGCAACAGGAATATAATCTAATTCTTCAATGAAATCAGCACTTCTTCTGGATACTTTACTCAGCTTGATTGTACTCCACACGTAGATACGATTGTAGCCACAGACCAGCAAAATGATATAGGAGATCATTGGGCAGGCAGTGCGCATGGATGTTCAGATCTCGATGCTGCGTGTGTGTAACACGACCTTAAGTGAAGGCCGGTACTCAGCAGCGCCTGCACCTGTTGCCTTTGTTGCATCCGCTCCAGCTGCAAATGCCAGCATCCGAGTATTCGTGCATGTATGATGGCTTCAGCTTGTGGGCCGAGATGAACGAGGCGCGGGCAAGCAAGCGGAGAGCTTTTCAGCGTTTCGCACAACATTTTGCGTATGTAACGCTGATTCTTGAGGTCGGTTTCAGTCTCCGTCATCAACCAGGCTCCTCCTGTATTATGTGTCGCATAGATACCAACCTGGGAAGGTATGCCGGGGCCTCTCGAATGATGACGTTTGTTACTCCGTACCTAGCATGCTAATACCCGCAACCACAACCACAACCACAACTCAGCTCGACAATAAAGGCAGGCATGAGTATGGGTGATGGGTATTTCCATGGCGCCTAGAAACTCTCGGTGTTCATGCCATTATTTGGAGGGTCAATTTTCATTACGGCCATTGCTTAAGCCCCCGCCGCTGAACTGGCAGCTTCGACACAGCGCGCTCCATACAATGTATAATACATACAATGCAATGCAATCCACACGACTTTGCAAACCAAATAAGACGAGTTGGATCCGAAAAAGGTTGGCGGCAGCCTCCGGGGTCTGTGGGGCCGTGGCCATGGTGCTAGCTAATGCAGGTATGTCGAGACACTCGCTTGTCACGGCCCCAAGAGCTGCACCACATGTTTGTGTGACACTTTCTGCAGGTCGAACCTTGAATTGATGCATGCAGGTGGCTTGCGACACGGGTCTGGCAAAGGTTGCCGGTACATGTGCCGCCATGTGAAGGAAGAATCGAATCGGTTGCTGTGCAAGACTATCATGTTTGAGCCTTGATGCATTGTGCCAAGTGTATATACGGGATGTGGATGGCTGAAACAGACCTTGAAAAACAAAAGACACAATCGAATGAGCATCTCTACTGAAGCAGGTGTTTCGAGCCAAATCAGCTCGTCTTGATCGTGCAGAAGAGTAGATGCAGGTCCACCGCGGGATGGGGAAGAAGAAGGAGAAGAACCACGAGAAGACGGTAATACTATGTACAGGGAACAGCCTACAAGATGCGGCAAGGCAGGCTCCGATCCATGAACAAAACGCCGTGCAAATGGCCCCTGGTGGAATCGAAACCAGTTCGATGGTCGGCGAGCTCTCGCGACGTTGGGGAGAGCGGAGGTGGGTACTTGCACCCTGAGCTCGGAGACAGATGGGGGTGAGGACAAGGGGACTCGTTGACGGAGAATGATAGAGAGACAGTTTGCTGCCCAGATGTCGAGATGTCGAGATGTCGAGACGACGAGATGTGTCTTTCTATTGTGGATGCACACGCCCCCTCCTTCATTGCCCCATGCCCCTTGACCCTTGTCTCTCCCCCTCACCACCAACCTTGCCTCTCCACACCACTTCCGATAAGCCCCCATGTTCCTCTACATGGACTCTATCGAACTCTTTGACTTCCCAGCGCATTTCATTGGCTGGTACTTCCTCCGTACGGAGTACTTCTGGGCCAGTTCCAAGCAAACACGACTCCTCAAGTGCTCATTGGGCTATGCGCCCGCCGGCGGGCATCGGGCTTGGAGAGATGACCCATGCTCCATAATGAATTCTTGCTACTGCCCTATTCCCCCGGCCGTGAGCAAGACAATCAGTTGACATCTTCCGTTGCGGGCTGCGGCTAGCCACAGGTTAGACTGGTCACTGGACTTTTTCGTAAAGGTCACTTGGCCTAACGTTACGACGCTTGATCGCAAATGGCGCCATTACACGATGGTACGTAAGCAGCAAGATTGTTTGGCCACTCCGACCTTTGCCCGCCGTGATGGGCACATCATCCTCATCCACCAAACAGCTACCCCATAATATCTTCACAGTAGTATGTACATTGCTCACAGTATGGAGCACCCTCGTCACCCTCGTCAGCCATCTCAGAACGGGTCATCCCTAGCTCGTTGCCGCTGGGGGAACCTCCACTCTCTGTGCGTTTGCAGCCAGAAGTGGACAATGTCCGTGTGTGCAGAGCAAGACACCATTCGTCGCTGACTTTTTGTCACGACCGGGAAAACACATGATATGGATTCGAATGGTTAGTCGAACAGGGGACAGGGAGCTCTGGCCCGCACTTCCTACAGGCAACAAGCTGTCCAAGCCAAAAAAAAAAAATATATATATATATATTTAGATCGCCGTCCAATCTATCTCGATTTAATGTCACTTCCGGCGATCTTTCAAATGCGGCATGGTTTGATGCTAGTTGATGCCTGCAACTCAACAGGGCGCTTTGACTGAATCGTTGGCCAGCAGAAGCGCTGGGTAGGCAACAATCTAACGATAAAAAACGGAACCACTCCCCCGCACACAGACTCTGGAGTCTGTTAGGCCGTGTCTCGAGATCATTGTACGTACTCCGTACATGCATTTAATATACAATACGGACTATTAGGTCCGCCTTTGACATTAATAGGGCTTGCTTCTGAGCGAATCTACAGGAAAGCCGATGGCTCGCGTGGCACAATCTCCGCAAGATGCTGAGCCATTTCGTTCCGGGCGAGAAGACGACGTATCATTTTTCATGACCACCTGGTGATTCTGTGGGCCATTTACGCCTCCGAACCAGTACAAGAATGTCAAATCAGCCGCTGGAGGCTGTACTCTCCAGGCTCGGGACGAAGCGAACAAAGCAAACGTTTGATCCCAATTTACTTCCCAAGTAGGAAAGTGGCAACAGAGGCTGCAACCGGATCTGGGGCTATAATCGGCAAAGAAAAAAAGCAAAAACCGAGGAGAATAGCTTTGCTACGGGGTATCCTCGTGAGAGTCTTGATGGAAACGTCCCGAGACATGACAACAACGCAAAGATACCGGAGTCGTTTCTCCTAATCTGCAGGACAATCTGCACCAACTCGGACTATTTATCCAACTCTAGGCCTTTCAGGCTAAATCCTGCTGACGCCAGGGTCCAGATGTCTCTTTGCGCGATTCTTGGCCAGATCGCGATGTGGGGAAGCAGGCCGGTCATGTTAGTACTCCCATACACGCCCTTGAAGACTCGGCCCTATCGTCGCTGACAGAAAGGTGAGCTTGCAGGGATCTACTTGACGTTTTACCGGGCCGTGATTGGAAGAATTGATGGTGGTGCTTTGAAGGCCATAGTGCTTACAATCTCGATTTCACTGTGCCTGGGCGTATCGACGGCAAAGAGCAAACGCTACACACCTATTCTAGGAGCAGCACATCACGACGAGATCGGCTAGGAAATATTGTTGGCTACGTGGTGCGGCCGATTCATGAATTGTTTTTTTAAAAGGCATTCGACAAATCCTCTTTGAGCAAAATGTTGATGCGGTGACGAAACTAGCCCCAATGCTATGACAGAAGCGGTTGGCTGAAACGCCTCGAAACACAGCAGTGGCCAGCCGCGGCAACCGTAGCAGCCGCATTAGCCGCATTGTCAATCTGCCAATTCATTTATCACCTTCTGAGATGAATGACGCCCATCGCAACGCGTTCGGAAGGTGTGAGTACCAGCCGTGAACTTTTGCGGCTCAGCAATGCTTGCGTGAGATAAAAAATGTCTACCCAATATTGTGGAGTACATTGAAGTCACCCACCGTCTCTGGCGGGTTCAGATTCATCGGCTCAGCGGCTTTATAAGGTTGTGAGAGATGATGGGTCGTACACGGTACACCACGATGCAGATGCCCAACAATTTGGCCGATGGAATTCTACAAGAGGAGGGTATTCCTACCCAGAGCTCTTACGAATATAGTAAATACAAGTGTATTATGTATTGTATTTTGTATTGTATTGTATTTTCGTGTATTGTATTTAAATACATTACATTACATAACTAAAATACCTATAAATGTATTATAAGTAAAAAAAACCCCTGTTTTTTTAAACTTAAGATTATAAGGCTAATTATAAGGGTTATAAGGAAAAATTTTATATCATTTAAAAGAGCTAAATTAGCTCTTTAAAACGCCCCACTTTTTATCACTATAAGTTATTATCTTAAAAAGTTATAAGCAATTGAAAATTCGCCCCGCTTTACTTACTTTTTATTTTAAGAC